AGCCGGCAGAGCCTGTGTGTATGTGTGTGTGTCCGTTTGTGTGTGCGTGTGCGTGTCCATGCCAGCCAGGGCCTTCCAGAAACAGGAAGCTGCTTAACATATTTATTGATATCAAATGGATGTTAATTGAGTTCTTGGAGCTCTCAGATTCGATGCAGAGTTCAAAGCAGTTTTTGCTGTGCCTGGATGGGTGGCTGAGGGGAGTGTTGGAGGGAATGTGTTAAAAAGAAATTGGCCCCCAGGAAGAATAAGGTGACGGGGTGGGGGTGGGCAAGGAGCTAGAATGCCACCCTGCATGTGGGTTGAGGAAGCCAAAGAGATGATGCCTTTTGAGGGGGAGGCAATATCCAGAAATGCTTTAATTTTATTAATTGTTTGAAACCGTTTTGAGCAAAATGGGAAGCAACAACTTTAATGCCAGGGGTTTTGGCAGGAGGGTGGAGGGGGGGGTAGCACAAACTACAAGTCTGTGGCTGTGTACACACCACACATTAAAATCACATTCCCTCCAAAGAATCCTGGGAGCTGTAGTTTACCCCTCACAGAGCTACAATTACCAGCCCCTTAAAAAACTACAGTTCCCAAGATTCTTTCTGGGGTGAAGGGATGTGCTTTAATATACAGTGGTACCTCGGGTTAAGTACTTAATTCGTTCTGGAGGTCTGTTCTTAACCTGAAACTGTTCTTAACCCAAAGCACCACTTTAGCTAATGGGGCCTCCTGCTGCTGCCGCGCTGCCACCGCCCAATTTCTGTTCTCATCCTGAAGCAAAGTTCTTAACCCGAGGTACTAGTTCTGGGTTAGCGGAGTCTGTAACCTGAAGCGTATGTAACCCGAGGTACCACTGTACTTTAAAAATAACAAGTGTATGCAGCCTCTGTCCCCATTTTATGAATAAGAGCTAAACAGTTATTAATCTGGAGAGAGAGAGAGAGAGAGAGAGAGAGAGGGAGAGAGAGTCTCAGTGTGATGTAACTACACTACTTTGCTCATCACCTGCTAATTCTAGCTAGTGGGGAATTTAAAGTTCCAGCCTGCCATGGGTGGTCTGTTCTCGGAAAGGGTCACATGGATTTCCTAGAAGCCGAAGATTCAGAGAGCTGTGACTTGTTGTAATCAGAGACCAGCTCTTGTGGGGCCTGTTTGTGGCCCCATTAATGGTAGAGGTTAGAATCTGCAGTGGTGAATATTTCTGGGGTGGCAGAACTTGAACAGGTGTTACACAAGAGCTGTTTTTCCTTCACTGGATCAAGGGTGTGTTTATGTTTGTTTGCTCCTCGGTCAGCTCAAAACTGGAAATGTCGGATGGAAGCAGCAGCAACCGCTGGAAACGATATGGCTTTGTGGGGATTTTTTTACTGTCAGGGGTGCACCAGCATCTGACCTCAGTTTCCCAGCTCCCTCTAAGGGTAGAGGTGACGTATCTGTCGCAGGTGAAGCAGGCAAAATCCTTTCCCCAGAAGTGAGCACAACCACCCACAGACATACAGGATTTTGAAAGGAGGTGTTTTAGGTCTGAGGGCACAGCATCCAGTCTTGTCTGAGCCCAAGGCTCTTTCTTCACAAATGAATTGCTCTGTTAGGCTAGAACTGTTTGCAGTGCCTGAGCTGCCAAGCACCCCCGGAGCCCATTTTCTGCTGTCATCCAGGAATCATTTCCTTCCATTTTGATCAAGGCATAGGTCCCTTTCCAACTGGGCGAGCAGAAGAAGCTACAAAGCAAATCCAGGCAGGCTCATCTGCTGATCGTCAGCTTCAGTGGGTTTGGATCCTCGCGGGGTCTTTTCTCCTCTCCACCCCCCTTTCCCCACACATCCTCTGCCTTTACTTCTTCGTCAGGGTCTCAGCTGTTAATTACCTTTGCCTGTCAGCCTTTCCTGCTAATCTGCTATCACTGAGTGGGAATCAGGAGGTCAGACAACAAAGGTGACACTGCCACACTGCGCCTCTTGTCATCTCCAAGCCAGATTAGTTTCATTGACTAACTCCTGGCTGAATACCGCCAGTTAATTATAACGATCACAAACCCTCCCATTTTAAAGCCACACAGTGAGAATTAAGGGTTCTGAAGTAAGACTTTAGCTTCATTAATTGCCCGGCTCTTTGTGATGGTATTGATTGATAAGGCTTTCAGTGGTGAGTAATGGCTTCCCAGCTCAGAGGGGATTAAGGCTGCTAATTGTTGTCGGCCTCAGCGCTGACAAGATAGACTTCAGTAGGTGTCAAATCCATACTGGCGGCTTCCTTTGTCATCTGCACCATCCGTGCCACCACTCTCCAGAATGAAAGCGTGGCGCAGTTGCCCAGGAATAATTAATAAAGCCTGGGAGCTGGCAACGCGGCAAACCTGCCCCTTCCTTGGGTCGGCTTTCTGCTTTCTCCTTCTGCTGCAAGCTTGCTCCAAGTGGTGTATGACTCCGATGGAAGTAGGAGACATGGCATTGGGAAGAAAGACTAAAGATGTTGTAAGCTTTTGAGTCTGACCGAATAGTTCATTTAAAAATATACAGTATATACCGTATTTTTCGCTCTATAACACGCACCCGAGCATAACACGCACATAGTTTTTAGAGGAGGAAAACAAGAAAAAAAATATTCTAAACGAAACAGTGGATGTATGATTTTTGTGGTTCATGCTGTGGCTACAGACATGTGATCTGACAGTGAGTTTGGGGTAGCCCAATGCAAAAATCCTGAGGATCCATGTGGATCTGTGCTTTGTAACCATGTTTTAAGTGGGGAGGGAAGGAAAAGCACTCAAGGGACAAGGAGCACGCATGGGGTTGGTGGAGAAGGATGCTGCTAATAATGAAGAAGAGGGGTATAAGGGGAGAAGGAGCACGCGTGGGGTGGGTGGAGAAGGATGCTGCTAATAATGAAGAAGAGGGGTATAAGGGGAGAAGGCTCCTCTCCTCTCCTGCTTTGCTCCTTTAAAGCAAGCAGGCTCTCTGTCCCTCTCTCCTCCCCACTCAGCGGCTCTTCTCCTGCTTTGCTGTTTCAAAGCGAGCCACGGAGGAGGGAAGGAAGGGGAACCATGGATCCTCTGCTCACGACTGCAGCAGATCCCCCCGCCATCCGTAGGCATTCGGTCCATAACACGCACAGACATTTCCCCTTACTTTCTAGGAGGAAAAAAGTGAGTGTTATGGTGCAAAAAATACGGTACACATTAATTTTTAGAGTACATGAAGGCAAAATAAGCTCTAGCCTGTTGATTTTTATGTTTTCAGTTAGGTTGATAGTGTTGGCAAAATAGTGTCAAATTGCCTATATTTTCTTTCCCCTTATGAAACTCTGTCAAGTGCCGCATGCGTCAACAGTGCAACATGTTCATTGTTCACTTCATTGCGGGTGGTTCCTGCGGGTACCTTTTTGGCCCAGGCTGGAAAGGATGTCTTAGTATTCCGTCTCCTTTTTGTGCTCTTGAGTACTCCTTAGAATTCAGTAAAACAGGAAGGATTTGCAGCATCCTTAAGCTGAATTGGTTGGGGCCAATAAAATCAAGGATCTATCTCTCTGATTCCTAGGCTCCCATGCGTGTGCCGTCATACTAGGCCCTGCAGCTCACTCTTGCCATAGTCAGTGCAACTTAATAATTCATCTGTTTACATAGTGGACTGTTAGTTCAACTGATTCACTGTGGCCACATTCACACCATGCATTTAAAGAACTATGATGCTACTTTAATCCATCATGGCTTCCCTCAAATAATTCTGGGAGCTATACAGCTCGCAGAATGGTTTAACAGACTTTCCATCTTCACAGGGAACTCTGCAAGTTGTAGCTTTGTGATAATAAGGGTTTTCTAACAACTCCCACCACCCTTAACAAACTACAGCTCCCAGAATGCTTTGGGGGAAAGCCATGACTGTTTAAAATGGTATGAGAGTGCTTTAAATGTATGGTGTGAGTGTGATGTCCCAACTGCATCTTGGTATGTCCTGAAAGGCTCAAAGTCATTAGAGCTTGCTTAGAGAGGCATGATTTTTATTTTCATTTTAAACCAAACAATATAAAATTGACACGTGATCCATTTGCCAACCCTGTTCCACCATAAGGAAATTGTTTTTCTTTAACTCGGAATGGCTGTTAGCTTATTTGAATGCCCCATGTTTGTGTTTACACAAACTTTCCCTTTGTATGAATGTTTTTCATGCAACCTGTTTGAGGCACAGGGCAAAATCTAGCAAGGATGCCCTAGTTAGCATCCTATTTGTATTTCTTCTATAGCCACCCTTGTCTATATGCATCGTTCTCTTAATTCTATTTCTGTGAGTCTCTTCCCCCCCTCTACTTGCAAATACCAGCAGCTTCCCTAGGCTGGGTGTAATTTAAAATACAGATGTATTATGCAAATTGCAGCAAAACCTTGCCCAAGGGTTGAAAAAGAGAGAGAGTTGTTCTATTTACCCAAATGCCCGTCTCTTTGAGCACAGCATCTTGGTCATGGCTGCTTTTGCAGTCTTGGCTTAGGATGGTTTTGCTAATTTTTCTTGAAAGAAAGCAGTCACCGCCTCTAATTGTGATGCCCCAGGTTTTGTGTGTTGATAGATGAAGCCATGCAGGGTGGTATTCAAGCCCAGGACTTCCACTGCTGCAGCATTAGAGTAACGTCTCTGTACCATCAGCCTTTTTTCTAAAGTAATTGCCTTGCTGCTTTTGCTTTCCCCTGGGCTGGCTTTATGCTTCTGGGTTTCTTCTAGCAACTGAATGGGTAGTTTGGGTCCCTTTTTATGTATCACAAGAGCCCTCCCATGTAACCCAAGTGTAAGCCATTTTGTCTTGCCAATTGCTAAATGTGAATGTTTGAAGGCTTCTGAGCAAGAACACTTGAATTGTGGATGAGGAGGTAGAAACAGATGTGCCTATGTGTATCTGAATATTCATCATAGTTGTACGGTGCCTGCCACCATATTAAGTGCCTTATTAATAAGGTGTAGAGGAGGAAACTGGCCTTCTGAGCTGAGAAAGGTAGGATCTTGTCACTCAGAAATCCATAAGCAAATGTGGCTTAGCGGTAGAGCATCTGCTTTGCTTGCAGAAAGTCTCAGGTTTAATCCCCAGCATCTCCAGGCCTGGGAAAGATTCCCTGGCTGAAACTCAGGAGAGTTGCTGCCGGTCAGTGTAGGCAATAGTGAGCTAGATGGACCAGTGGTTTGACTTGGTTTAAGGTGGTTTCCTATGTTCCCAAGGGCCAACTAAGTATCAAATTACCACTAGAAACCACCACCCTGCACTGTTGTCAGAGTTTGATCCACGTGTGGCAAAAAAAGTGTGCCTACTCAGAAGGAAAAGGAAATTGTTTTTAAAAGTTTGAGAGATCCAGCCAGGTTAATGTTGTGTCCCTCTTAGTGGTTTGCATGCTGTGTCTCAGCCACACCTTTACTGTGATACCTTTACTCTCCTTGATGGACAGTAAGGGGTCAGGGGGTGCAGCCAAATAGCACTACTACCTTACCCACCCCACCTTCTTTATGGACATCTGAATGCCCCAGCAATGCAGTTGTCCATCCCTATTCTGGCAGATGGATGCGTTTGAAACTAATTAATGGGCCCAAATGTGCATGAGAGAATTCCCTACTATCACCTCAACAGGGATGGGACTGGAAACCTTTTCCTTGTCAACAAGGAGCAATGTTCAGGAAAAGTCTTCTTTGGAATCAGAATATTGGTTAAACTTGGGTGACTTTTGCACCATACATTTAAAGAACTGTGATGTCACTTTAAACTCCCCCACACCAAGACTAATGGGAGCTGTAGTTTGTTACAGGTGCTGAGAGCTGTTAGGAGGCCCCCATTTCTCTCACAGAGCATCAATTCCTGGGAAGAGTGATTGATTATTAAGTCACTCTGGAAATTGTAGCTGTGAAAGGGGACTTTGGACAACTCTCAGCACCTTTAACAAACGACAGCTCTCAGGATTCTTTGGGGGAAGCCATGACTGTTTGCAGTCATATCAGAGTGCTTTAAATGCATGGCGTGAAGGTAGCCTTATTCAATGGGAGCACCTGCAAGGGTTCAGCCTCCCAGCCTGCTCTAATGCCTGGGATTAAACTACCCACCAGGGGAAACTTCCCATCTCATCTCTGTCCATCTCTCTCTCTTGTTTTAGGGTCTTCAATAAGCAGTGAGTCTTCTCCTGTTTCCTCACCGGCCACCAACCACAGCTCCCCTGCAAGCACTCCCAAGCGAGGACCAATGGGGCCCCTGATTGTCCCACCGGGAGGGCACAATGTGCCGAACACGCCTCCGGTTGTGACCATTGCACCCACCAAAACTGTGAATGGCGTCTGGAGGAGTGATGGGCGACAGGTAATGCTTTCACATGTACATGCACATGGCTTCTATTGGGGAGGGTGGGGTTTTCTCTAGAAGGAGTTCGGAAAGGCATTGAGAAGGGGGAATGGGATTGAAACACAGGAGTAGGAGACTACAGGCAGATCTGAGGGAAATCCATCTTCCCTAATAAAATAAGGCAGCCAGAAAACGAAGCAAGCCTTCTAGTCGTAGGATGAGTGATATTCAGTGGACATTCTATTCCTAAAGAGCAACATGTCATATCGGGCCTAGCTTGTGACAGGCTGCCACAGAGTGCAGGCCTGGCATGGGTTGATGATCATGTGGACCAGTGGCAGGAGGAAGAGTTGTGGATGCGGTGAAAGTAGGGAATCGAGCAAAGCAGTCTGTGACACTCCTTTTGGGTACCTCAGTAGACCCACCTTCATGCTATGGGGTTTCAACACTGGAACAACAGCCTGGAGTACTGTTGGCCCAATTGAGCCTAGGCTGCCTGGCTGCTTGAAGGCCCAGAAGTGCACTGGTGATGCAGAAGATGAAACACTGAAGCCTTCAAGCCTCAGCACCTTATACAGCATGACCAAGACCTTGTCATACATGCAACCGATGGGGAGATGTGCTCAAATGAGCAGTGGTGCAGTGGCAGAGCATGCCACCCCAGAACAGGGGTTTGCATGTGGAAGGTCCCAGCTTCAATCCCTGGTATCTCCAGGTAGGGTTGGGAAAGACTCCCTGCCTGAAACCTTGGAGAGACACTACCAGTCATCGTAGACAACACTGAGCTAGATGGACCAATGGACTGACTCAGTAGAAGGCAGCTTCTCTGTCCCTAGTTCCTTCAGTCACCTCATTCTGGTGCATTGAAATGGCTAAAACAGCATTTGTACATTGACACAATGGGCATAGGTTACAAGGAGAAGGCATTGCAACTGAGCAGATTCAGCTCCACCAAAACCGGCACTGCGTCAATCTCTGCTGTTGGTGTGCACCTTCCCTTGCAACAGCTGTCAAAATGCAGAGCAGACTGAATGTGGCTTGGGACTTAATTTCGCACAAAACCCTCCTGATTCTTATTTTTGAGACACAAGAGCTGATTGATTCCATTGAAGGGCAAGGCCTGCTTATCGAACATCTAGTGTTGAAAAGCAGCATGTTGCATCCAGAGCAAATGTCCTCCGGCTGGGGATAAATAGCATCATCTATGCTAGTGTCCGGGTCAGGCACCAAGCACGCTCAGAGAAATCAGGAAGCAGGCAAAATGCTGCCTGTAAATCTCTGCACACAAGGCCCTCTTCCTCTAGGGTTGCCCAGCCCACCCTGCCGCCCTTTTTTCATGCATCCTCTCTCCCTTCCTTGCAGACACCACGGGCAGCAGGGAGCCGAAGCGTTTGCTAATTAAGAATCATTGTTAGGGTTCTCCTCCCCTTGTATTTTACCCAGGCTTCCCAGCGGGATCACAGCTCTTGGAAATACTAATTAAACCACAAAGAGGAAAGGCTGAGGGAGGGGAAGAGAAAGCAGGACCCCTGGTGCTTCGAAGAAGCACAGATGATGCCCTAGCGAAGGAAAACACACACACAAACACGCCCTGAGCTCTGATCGTGATGAAAAGAAGAGGCAGCTTGCTCAGGCCTGCTCAACACAGCCGTGCTTGTTTTGGTTGTGATCAGCTCCTTCTCCCACCTTTTCATTATCGAGCTTTGAAAAACAAAGCAGATTAGGTTAACCAAGTGTAGTTTATCGCTCTGCATCTCTGTGTGGTGTATGGAGATGACGTTGTAGTTATGGACATGTCTTGCAAGCTCAGTGGGCTTTGATACATCAGCAGAGAAAGTACTCAAGGAAGGAAGTGCTGTGGCTCAGTGGCAGAGCATCTGCCTTGCATGCAGAAGGCTCCAGGTTCAATCCACAGCATCTCCATGTAGGGCTGGGAGAGACCTCTGTCTGAAGCCTTCAATAGGCTACCAGTCAGTGTTGACAATACTGAGCTAGATGGACCATTTTCATTTCATTTCATTTTTAATTTGTATGTCGCCTTTCTATCTTACAATACTCAAGGCGGTTTACAAGCTGAAGAAACAAAGATTGTACATCTTATAACAATCTAATGCAATACAAAAATAAGATAATAAAACATAACTTGAAAATAGGCAACCTATATCAAAAAAGTAACATTCAACAATCATTAGAATAGTATAAAATAATATCAACATATAAAAGTTAAACAGAAATCCACTCAACAGTTACAATAATATCTAAACTATAATCAGTAAAATGGCAAGCCTCAGTACATAAAACAATACAATACACATTGAGAAGCAGAGGGTGGGGCAAGGCAGGTGGAAGGAGGCCTTGCCTGATGGAGTCTCTCCCCTCACTAGTGGTCTGACTCACTATAAAGCAGTTTCCTGTGTTCCTGTGCCTTGAGGGAAGGGTTGGTAGAGCATCTGCTTTGCTCCTTCTGGTTTCAGGCTCAGTCCCTAGCATCTGCAGGTAAAGCTAGGAGAGGCCCCAGTCTGAAACCTGGAGAGCCACTCCCCGTCAGTGTAAAGGATACTGAGCTGGACGACCAGTGATCTATCCACAAACCAGCTGGACCTGTCAGTAGCTCACATTGGCTTTCATCCTCACCGGCAGGCCTAACCCCACTCTTAATTTACTTAATTAAAATATTTGTTCTACTGCCTTTCATAAGAAATCTTAAAGTAGTTCACATCAATAGAACCACAGGGTAAAAAAAAGCAACAAAAACTCAGTAAAAATTAATACAGCAGCAAATATAGAGTCAGGGCGAATCACAATAAACTCGTATTCACGGCCACCAAACACCAGGTAGAACAAACAGGGGTTTAGCAAGTGCTGGAAACTAAGCTGAATCAGGACCTGCCTTATTTCAGAGGGGAGGTTCTTCCATTGACTTGGGGGCACAACTGAAAAGGCCTTTCCCTTGGCTGCAGCAAGCTGGGCCTCAGCAGGCCATGACTCAGCTAGGTGGGCCTTATTAGAACACTTTGGTGACTGGGCAGGTCTGTTTGGAGGGAATGGCATCCCTTCAGGTAAGCTAAGTTCTTTTGGACTTTATAATTTAGTGCTTAACCCCAGCCTGGTAGCAGATCAGCAAACCCACTCAGCTCTTTTAAGAGTGGCGTCACATTCCTGCAATAGGCTGCTGCACTCAGCAGCAACCTAACTGCCACGTTTTGCACCATCTGCAGCTTCCAGTCGGATATCAAGGGCAGACTCACTTAGTGCGAATCTCAGCAGTCAGTTCTTGAGGTTTCCAATGCAGGCTATCCTTGCCCCACTCCTCCCTATTCTCTAGAATATTCGGCAGCCCTTGAGAGACTGCAATAATATCCCTGCTGCAACAATTTGCCGCTAATGAAGCTCTAATGCCACCAGGGAGCGCTCTGGGTAGAGAGAGCCAGGGCTGACTCAACAGATGATCCAGCCCATCCATCCTAGTACAGAGGTTTGATTGAAGCTTTAATACTTTTTTTTTTTTTTTGGTCTGGTGGATGGGGAGCACAGTAACTTAGTAAAATAAGATGTGGGGGCAGGGGGGAGAGAGCAGAGAGAGAGATGAGGCACTTGGCGCTCTGAAATGCTAAAATCAAAGTGGCGGCTTGCTGCTGGCGCCCATCCATCAGAGGTTAGCGGTTTTTCAAAGATAATACGGAGTCTTTTGAAAGGCCGCGTGGAATGAAGAATTGTCTATTTTAAAGCTAATAGGGCATGTCCCGTGGTCTCCCTGGCAGAGATTGCACACTAATCACCAGCGAATGACTGATCTCCCCATTTTCTCCCTCCCCGCCATTTCATTGCCTTTTCCCCTTTCATCCTTGCAGCTGCGTATCAAGACACTGCTGGAAATGAAGTATGGTTCAGGCAGCGCTTTTGCAGCCTACTCAGAGCCCGCTGTCCACCTTTCTTGAGCAGGTGCCGCCTTTGCCAGTTAGGCCACTGGGCAATCCAGTTCTAAGGATTTAAATGGCTCCCCCCCCCCCTTTTCTTTTATTGCTGGCTGAGGCCAGCAGCCCTCCTGATGGAGTGTAGTTTTATCTTCAGTGGCAGCAGCTGGAGGAAGCCTGACTTGGTTTTTTTTATTTATTGAATTTGTATCCTTCCTCCCCAGGGATCCCAGGACTGCCAACAGATTCACAATTAAAAAACAAAAACAATGCTAAAACATTCCCCAAAACAATTACAATTAAAAACATCTACGATTAGTTTCAGTTAAAAACGTTTTATAAAAGCAGTTACAGTGAAAAGCTTTCCTCCATCCGATGATCACAGGGTTGCCCAGAACAGTATCTTTCAGCCACCAAATGCCTGGGTAAACAGGAATGTTTTCACATTTTTCCTGAAAGTTGATAATGATGGAAACAGATGTACTTCACTAGGGAGGGCATTCCACAATTGGGGAACCATCACTGAAAAGGCCTTGCCATGAGTAAGCACCCAGTGGCAGCACTGCAGTCAAGGGGAATCGAGGGTTCTTCAGCAGTTGTCTGACTCCTAACTCCTAACAACCAGGAAGGCCAGTGGGAGAGATGATGGGAGTAGAAGTTCAGTGACATATGGAGGGCTACAAGTTCCTCACTACTGCTCTACTAGAGCCATGAAGTCTGCAAAATATAACTGAGGAAGTCCTTCATACAACCATTATCTTAGTCAGGGCAACCAGTGTAGCCAGATTATCTAGTTAAGAGCATCAGTTATATAGATTTGGGCAGAATTCAAGTCATATGAGTTTGTTTTCGCATTTATATCTCACTTTTCCTCCAAGGAGGTCAAGGTGCCAGACCCAAGGTCTCCCAGTGAGCTTCATGGCTCAGTGCGGATTTGAACCCTGATCTTCCTAGGTGTTAGTCCAGCACTGTAACTACTACACTACATTGCCTCTCAGGTTGTGTTGTGCTGTATATTCAGATTCCAGCTTGCTCTACCTTTGAAGTCTCTCCACAAAGACACTGAAGTGGATTAAGCCAGTGCCAGAGTTGTGAGCAAGGCAACAACTTCCCCATTGTGCCAAATTGTGTGGCTCAACAGGACCTGTTTGGCCTTAAGAAAGGTGTAGGGGACCTCTGGCCCTCCTGATGTTGCTGACCTGCAACTGCCATCATTGCTGGCTATTGGCCATGCTTGCTAGGGCTCATGGGAATTTCAGTTTGGCAACATCTGGAAGACCAAAGGCTCTCTACTTCTGCCCTAAGGATTGCCACTTTTACCTTCCTGGTAAAAGAGCCCTTGCAAGGTTCACATTTTCCTGCCCATTGTTTTCATCGGGAGACCCTACCCTACCCCTCCCGCCTTGTTGTCTTTATTCAAAGGCATGTGACTGGTGCGGTTTGCTGATGCTGCTTTCTGCAAGGGGCCTGGGTTTGTTTCCTGCCTCCAATGAAATGCTTGACTAACCTGTTTATTTTATGGCTGCTATCAAAAGGCTGGTGGATTTATATTTGCTGTGCTGTTTCAGGCTCCATAGGTGTCTGTATCCTCCCGGGGTGATTAATGGCTCTGGGGGAACAAAGCAGCCAGTAAATCCTCCAAGGCAGAAGAGAAAAGCCAGACCCTCCTTCCCTTCTGCCACTCTCCTTCCTCATCACAGCCAGGCCTGCTCTAAATGGACCTGCAGCCGCAGGCACCACACGCTAGAAATTGCTCTGCCTATGCAAAACAATCCCTTTGCAAAGCAAACAAGGTCACCCTACTTTTCCTATGTTTGCAGCAAGCCCCCTCCACTGAACACTTTTTTCTCGACAAGATGAGGTCTAGGGGTTGTGCTCCATCTTCCAAGGTTCTTGATTTTTGCCCATGTTTGTTGGTCAGTTCCTTGCCTCCCACCCCCCACCCCTGCCCCGGTGCATCCAGATCATTGTCTCCTGGATGCGCCCTCTGGAGAAGGTCAGGGTTGGCTGGCTGGCTGGCGAAGAGGGCCGGGTGTGTGGCGCTCCAGGCGTGCGCTGCGTTCAGAGAGTGAGCAGATGTTCCTGCTCATTAAAAATTCCAATCAGCGGGCCCATCTCTTTGAATTAATTATGGCCGATGTATCTTCTGAAGAGATTATGAAAGTCTTGAGGAGCTCTCAGCTGTTTGCAGGAGTGTTTGTTGTGGTCGTATTTAGTAAATACACTTGACTGATAGAGGCAGTTCTCCCGATGGCACCTGGCGAGGAGCTGCTTAATCCTCATCTGCGGCACATGCTTCAAGGTGTCACACTCTGTGGTGATGCAAAGGCGTGTGGTCTGCCTTAGGGAGTGTAAAATGGAGCTTCCAGTTTCAGGTTCCAGGCTTGTAGAAACCCCTGTTGTGCATAAGGAGATTGAGGGGGGCAAGTGTGGCATAGCGATATGGCTAAGTGCTCCTTAGGACCCTGTAAGGCCTGTGGAGCACTACAGGGCTTTGCTTCCTTTGGATGAGAGACCGGAAGAGGCCTGCTGCCTGGCACTATTTGGTGCTACTGGGAAAGGTCTGTGGCTCAGTGGTAGAGCATCTGTTTTGCATGCAGAAAGTCCTGAGTTCAATCCCTGGTGTCTCCAGGTAGTGGTGGAAGAGACCCCTGCCTGTAACCATGCTGCCAGTCATGTTAGACAGTACTGAGCTGGATGGATTAATGATAGAACTCAATACAAGGTAGCTTCCTACTGGACATGCATCGGCTCACTCTCTTAATGGCTGCTTGTTGCTCACTGGTCCCTGTAAGCTGAGCCTTGCATTTAACAGAAGTGTCTGAATTTTGCATTTGTAGATCTTAACGTCATGCCAAAGGCTCCAGGTAGGGCTGGGAGAGAGCCCTGCTTTAAACCTTGGAGAGCTGCTGCCAGTCAGTGTAGACAATACTGAGCTGGATGGATCCAATGGTCTGACAGTGGATAAGGCAGATTCCTATGTTCCTGTGTTGTGGGGCTTACCAGACAGAAACACCCTCCCCTGATCCTGCATCAGGTCTGTCAAAGCTATGGTGTGGGTCTTTGCAGGCCTCCAGGCTGCTCTTAGTCCAGCTCAAAAACTCCTCTTCAAACCCTGTTCAAATTCAAAGCAGAACTCCAGTTTCCCAGCCTCCTTCCGCTAAGCTGAGAGGTAGGGCTGGGTGATATCTGGTTTTCAACATGGTGATATATCACTGATTAAACATTGCAATATTTCGATGTATCACGATATCTGAAATAAGGCTGGAGCTATGTAGAGGTGAACATGGTGATGTCCTGGCAACTGCTACAACTTATGGGTCTAACTCTAAAACTGACAATAATTTTACTTAACATATTGTTACAACTGTTATGCATAGTACTCCTGTACCAATGATAACACATTCTCTCTAAAATTAAAGCTGTAGAAGTAATTAGTAGCATAGGTATCAAAGGTCCCCCCCCCAAATTAATTACATTATTAAACAAGAAAAAAGTGTCACACTTTTAGATATTCAAATATAATTCACTATTGAGTCTTAGTGGAATATATACCATATTTTTCGCTCTATAGGACGCACTTTTTCCCCTCCAAAAATGAAGGAGAAATGTGTGTGCGTCCTATGGAGCGAATGCAGGCTTCAGGGAGCTATCCGCAAGCCTTCGGAGCGCGGTGGGAGTTCCCGCCAGGCTCCAAAGGCTTGCGGATAGCAGCCTGTTCTCGGGGCTTGGGTCGGGGGAAGCTCGGGCTTCCCCCGCCCCAGCCCCGTGGCTGGGGGGAGGAAATAATTTTTTCCCCTTTATTTCCCCCCCTAAAAACTAGGTGCGTCCTATGGTCCAGTGCGCCCTATGGAGCGAAAAATACAGTACATCGCAAAACACCAGTTACTTGATTGTTTGTTACTTTTCTTTTCTAAACCAGGCCAAACCAGAAAGAATGGATACAATTTTACAGAACAAAAATTATTAAATGTAATTTATATTTTTTGCAAGGAAAACTTGCATTTTGGCATTCTCTGGCAATAGAGATGCCCTTTGTATTTGAAGAAAATGCCAGCCTTGCTGAACACACTTTCAAATGGCACACTTGTTCCTGGGATAGCCAGAAACCTCTTTGCACGCACCTTCAACATTGGGAAGGATGTTTCCTGTGCCTTCCACCACATCAGAGAGCATTCATCAATGTCCACTCTTGGCATAGCCATATAGGAGAAAATGAGCATCATAAGGAGGTGGAGGAAGAGGTTCAAACAGCAGAGCAGGGTGGTTGTTGTTGTTTTCTTTTACTCTGAAGCAACTTGCAAGCCAACAAGCATCTCAAGAATGTATTTCCCTCTTCCTTGCGATTGGGGAGGGGAGAGCTGAAGACTTGCAAAGTTAACATGGGACTGGCAGCGTCCTATGGGCTGCTTCTGCCCCAAAAGAAAGGCACACACAACAAACACTGGGTGTTTCCCCCCTTTTATTCTGAAGCAACTTGCAAGAAAAATCTTTCCTCCATATTGTACTTGATGTGATGCCTCATCTGCAAGCCTGGCATTCTGTCCACTATCCCGCCTTATTCTGTTCTCGTTCATCACTGACTGACTATTTAAAAGGAGTGAGAAAGAAGGGCAATAATTGGGGAAAGGGAGGGTAGGTCTGCAGATTATGACTCCTTTTGACATCCATGAACTTCTTTTGTCTTGTTTTTCTGCCTGGGCACCCATCCAGGGTGTTGCTGAACAGAACCTGCCTCCCCACAGCTCCATCAAAACCATTAGGAGGTTTTTATCCTTTTAAAGGGGCCAGGGAGAGCTTTCAAGGGCCGCTTGGCTCCCTGCCAAGCAGAGTACACATTAAATGGACCCAATTGACTTTTGGGTTCAGCAAAAGCTCCCAGTGCCGATATTTTAATATTTCGCATTGCCAGTGTGTGGCCTGGCTTAAGGTCAGCGTACAGCCGCCTGGCCTTAAAAGGGGCAGGTTCTCAGGAGGGGAAATGGTTTGCCAAATGTGTTTCCTTCTGAATGTTAAGCACAAAGGATCCCATCCACTGAGTCCTGTCTGCTAAAGAGGCCCTTTAGGTGGCTAATACTTTATTCTGTACTGCCTGGGATGGCAACAAGGAGCAAGTGAACCCAAATTTCCTTCTTCCTGTTGCCAGGTGGCACGTTGAACATGCCACTTGCTTTCAGCTGTTGGACATTTTCATCACTTGCTTGTCTTACAGGATCTTGTTGACCAGGAAGAGAAGCTTGAACTCCAAGTGGGATTTTGTAACAGAGAAGGAACATACAGGCATCATGGCTAGAGACAGCTGAGTCTGGATTTGGCCCTGGCATCCTCAAAGGAAGGGCCATAGCTCAGTGGTCCCAGCTTCTATCCCTGGCATCTTCAAATAGGACTCAGATAGGAGCCTGGCAGGTTTTTGTTTTTGTTTAGTATGCAGTTAGACAAAAAAATGAGGAATTGGAAGAAGATAAGTGCAGTTCAAAATCCAGTAAGGGGGGCGGGATTAGACAAGTTAGGCATGTGTTAAGCAGTTAAGCAGTTAAATGACAGGCAATATCAGACAGCATATAAATAAATTAAGGGTAGAATATGCAGTTTCTATAACTGAAACAAACTGCCCAAACCATATTAAAGCATCTTGAGGAACACTTTCCTCCTCACCTTCATCTTCAGGCAGGTAACACTGCATGCCCTTAAGTACTGTCTCTCACTCTCACTCTCTATCTGCATCTCTGAGTTTAGTATCTGAATGAAGCTAGGTTCATACGTGAATTGTTTTTGTTGTATAGTAGATAACAACTACTGACCCCTATGGAGAAACCACCACTGATGTGGGGTGGAAGGAAGGAGCAAAGCACACTTAATGTTTGTTTCGCTTTCCCCTTTTTTTTACTGTGGAGTATCAGTCAGCGAATTTGTGTCATTGCATAATCTGCTTTTAAAAGACAGTAACCCTGGAACTCTGCCTAAAATCCTGGAGAGCCACTGTCAGTCACTGTAGACAGTGCTGAGCTCGATGAACCAAGGAGCTGACTTGGTATTATAAGGCAGCTTCTTGTGTTCCCTATACTGCTCTTACCAAAGTTTTGCAGTAAAACATCTGCTTTGCGTGCATAAAATCCAAGGTTTAATGTGTGGCATCTCCAGGTAGGACTAGGGGAGACTTCAGTATTGCTTACACTGACTGACAGCAACTCTCCAGGACTTCAAGACTCTGAATGTCCCCAGTTCTGCCTCAAGATGCTGAGGATTGAACCTGGAGAGCAACGGCCCTTCCCCAGCAAACTGCTCTACTTCCCCAATCTGTGGTTAGCTGAGGTCTGGGGGGAGTTGTAGTCCAAAACATCTGCAAGGTGCTAGGTTGAGGAACCTTCTGGTCTCCTTGGCCAACACTTCATTTTTGTTCTCCACCCAGTCGCTGGCCTGCCTTGAGCCTGACTTTTCTGGGAGTAGGGACCGCCATGACAGTCCCAAACCAGATGCTGTTTTTCTCTCTTCCCCTCTTTTCTTTCTCCTTGGTGTTGCCAGCATAGCTGCGATAGCAAAAGGCTAGCAGCTGCCTGCACAGCTGATGCCAGGGCTGGCCACTTCAGGGAACGACTGGTCACAGACCAGCCTGCTCTGCCCTAGTGGCAGTGCCAGATCCCGCATGCCCTCTGCTACTCTTTGTACACGCATCACTGTTGCCAGGCTATCCAGCATGGCATGTGCAGCAGCTGCCACCCTGGCTGATGCCAGACTCACTCCAGGAATGGCTGGCCTGGCGTAAAGTCTCTCTTTCAGGGGAGAAGACAGGTGGAGAAACTGCAGCTGATCCAAATAGAGGGCAGCCGCTCTCAGTATTGAACTTGCATCTCTGCGCATTGCAGAGTCTGGCCCCTAAATAGCACCCATCAGGAGAGCCCTGCTGGCCCAGACTTGGGCCCCAGTCTCCTGCTTCCAGCAGTGATCGTTCCATTGCCTCTGCATGCAGAGTGTAAAGGCCAGAGCCTTCCCTCATTGTCTGTTCCCCACTTACTGGCATATTGCCTCTAAACATGGAAACTTGACTGGGCATATCTAGTCCATGGAGCAGAAGCCAGAGTCCCTGACATCAACATAGAGCAGACTGGAAGGTAGTCAGGATTAGTCCCATTTTTTTTCCAGATAAGGTGGAATAAAGAGAAGAGCAGTAATAGAAATGAAACGACAGTTTTGCACACATTTTGGCAACATTTCTGAATTCAAACTCCAAACATTTTGCAATGTTCACATTTTGAAATGTGACTTCAGCTACATTCAGATAGCACTTCATTCCATTTTCCTGATGTTTCATTACCTGATAATTTCCACGTTTTATGCGATCATTCACACAATGTAATTCTAGAAAATGAGTGGAATCTAGTGGAAGTTTAGTGCTCATTTCCATGTTATTTGCTTCCGGGGTGTGGGGGTGGGGAGGATGCAAGCCTGCTAACGTGGAAAATCAAGGGAATTTTGTGTTGCAATTTCACATGATGAATTTTGGGATGATATTCTGGCATACAGTTCTTTTCTGTCATTTAAGATTTAGCACATACTGATCAAAAAGCCACAGTTTGGAATTCAGCAGCTCAGGCTCATATTAGAATCCAGCATAGAAATGCCAGCATTATCAA